TTTTTATGTAGAAAGGGTGTTTTTTTTTTTTGGGGGGGGGGGGGGGGGGGGGGGTGATCAGCTCGCTCTTTCCCCCCCCCAACACTGTCCAAAATATGAAATTGGGCACATTGTGGTCGAAGAAAATGTTCTTCGTCAACCCTTGCTGTACCCAAAAAAGGAATGGCGAACAGCGAACTCGGAATTATTTGTCCCCTGGTCGATGCCGTTGCTTCCTAATCACATGTAACAATATTCTGGCATGGAACACGGACCACTCAGCGCGTGCGTACGGCCCACAGGTACACGGAGGCTACAACAAACAACCAAGAGAGGCAGCAAGATGAGTCGTGTACAGGAAGAGAAGTGGTGAAAGCTTTGAAGTAAGCGAGGTGTTAGCGCACTGCATTCACATACATGGGCGAGGTATCAGTAAGAGCAGGTGGTGCTCGTGCAATACACATCGTTGAGAGTCCTCTGGAACTTGATTCTTGAGTTCAACCGCAGCTCCATGTTTCGCTTTGGCACTCCACCAGGTTACTATCATCTGTCTAACAAATCACCACCGGAGACACAGGACAGGGGGGCCACGCCGATTGTGATGAAGGGGTAGGCGTCCCATCTGTACCGTTCCGTTCTGTTGTGCGGTTCTGTGACTACCGACAGTATTCCCCGATACAAAGGCTACATGAGCATTCCGCTACTGTTTTGTTCCATGCGAGACACTTGATGATGGTAGCAATGCCTACATCGCTGGAGAGCCGGTATCGGATGCGCCAGTTGTGGCAGCGACATGCCTGAGTTGATCATACACGTCCCACCACGGCCTGAGCTGCCACCGAGTCCGTGCTCCACTCTCCACCTCTCCCCCTCTCCACATGGTTTACATATATGTTGTGTTCACGAACTTGTAGCTCAATGACGGTTGGCGCCCGCACTTTGGGACGCTGTGGAGTTGGCAGATCTCCTCTTCGAAAACTACAGGAACGGCCTGCCTGGATAAATCGAACAGAAAACATAGAATAACATGGCATCATGTATCCCCTCCACCCCCTCTCTCTTTCTCTCGCTATTTCTACTATCAGCCGCTCCCGATGGTTGTGAAAAAATACGACCGTTCAACCAGTTTGTGGTGCAATCAGCGTGCTATCTTGGATCCCCAAATTCTAACTCCAGTACGAATCTACCATCTCTCGAAACAACCGTCCGCACACGTCGCTGATGGTGTACGACGATAATTTATGTTTTTTTTGTTATTTTTGGTTTTCTAGACCCGTGGGAACATAGTCAGGACATAGTCAGGGTGTCGTAAACAACAAATAAATTCGACACCGGTGTCGTTAATAGCGTTACACTATACGGAAATGACCCACTTCCGGCGGGAATAGTACTCCCCCCCATTCGCCGGCGACACCTCGGCAGCAAGGAACGCCCTCCTCTCAAGAAGGGCAACAAATGGCCTCATTCCTATACATATTTCGACAACCACTTGCGCAACAACTGGAAGGCAAAATAACTCAACACAGGTCGGTTCCTGGCCATTAGAGTAGTGTCGAAGATAAGCCCTATCGACGAGACCACCGAAACGGTGCGCTGTGGCCGTATTCTTGGGCGTATCTCGCGAACCATGTGTCGGATTATGCCTAACGGCTGTTGGTGTAGCAGTTGGGGCCCGTGGGAACGTACAGCGCAATGGGTTCCGTTGCCAATGAACTTGGGCTTGAAGATATGCTTACCTGATGTATCCGCCGACGTAGCCATCAACGGCTATTTTTTTTTCGCTTCCCAAGTTTTGGTAACGTTGTAGAGAAGTGAGTGAGAGCACAGCTTGATTGGCTAGAATCCGACCGAGGGTTTTGTTTTTTTTCTGTATCTTCATCTACGACCACTCAAGGCGGGCTACAGTAGTGTTGCGGCATTAGGAGGCAGCGGTGTGATGCTGCGGTGCCTTGATTATTGGCGTTGTCAGACAGTACAACATCGTCATGGATATGCAGGATTCTACGGCATGTTTTGTCCAACTGATTCCGGATATCGGTTCAGATTTGTGGGTGTCGTGCAACGGGTTCGTGCAAGACCGTAGGCAATCTTTACAAAAAGAAGGCAAAGGAAAGAAGCAACTGCGCCTAATCTGCCGTCAGACTACAGTAGTCCCACACCGTCCTGGAAGCGAGCCACTGCAGTGGTAGACAAGGAGGTCTCCTACAATCTGGTGAGAAATTGGCGTACCACGAGTTCAATATCATGTGCTAAAGGTGTCGATGCTCACCAAGCGATATCACGCTCTCGAGATCTTGTCGAGATTTACGAGACAGAGACACGGGCGAAGCGAAAGACGAAGCTCGCTCGTCATGTCCACCATACCCATACTATCAACGCACAGCGCCCGCAGGCCCCCCGTACGATCGGTTCTCAGCCGAGTACTCTATAAATTACATGTCTTGAATTAACAAGCTTACCTCACCATCCATGGTCCGCCCCTCTCGTGCGACCCGAAACAATGTATGAACACCCATAGTGTGACGACACTGAACCGTTCTGCATGTAGGTTTGCTAACAATTTTGCTCTGTGGGCAAGCGATCAATCTACGATGTACTTCCAGGTATCAAGTACAGAGGTATTTATTTCATCTAGAGAACATACACCCTTGGCTAGCGCTACAACCGATTGCCGAAATATTTGACGTGTGTAACTCGGGTAAACAACGTTGGAAACCTCCCCAAGGACGACTGCCCCCGATCTCACGCCGAGCAGCGTTGAGAAACACCGAGATGCAGCATTTTTTTGGAGTACCAGGACCAAGAGGGGTCAAACTTAGCAAGCCAACTCCCCGCTGTCACGGTCAACGCGGACGATCTCGTACGCCGCGGTGTCAACGTCCTCTTCGGCAACGCCGAACTTGGCATTCACGGCGTAGAGAGAGTTGCCCTTGCGCATGGCGGTGGTCTGGGTATCGAACATGGGGTGTGACAGTGCACGGCGCGCCACCGACCCGCACGACAGATCAGCCGAAAGAGACACCTGTTTAGACCCCCGGAGTACAAAAAAGAAAGAGCCGAAGAGGGAGAAACCGTTGTGGGTCTGTGGCCGGGTGAGAGGGGGAAATTTACGTACTATATTGTAACCTCGCGGGCTCTTGGGCTGCTTTCTCTGCTGCAATGAAACTCCAAACGAACTCCATCTTTCGTACTTGGTCACCATCAAGGTACATGAAGAAGCATGACCTGAAATCGTTGTGCGAAGAAGCTAATTACCCGGATGACGCACGTTGATCAATGAATGGCATCCTAATTGTGGGATGCCCAGGACCTTGACTATCATCTGTGGCCAGGTGGAGGAGGCAACAATAAATAGCATTTATGATCTCTTCAGTATCCTAACCCGGGCCCAAAAAAGCTCCAGCGCATTTGTGGTGCAACACGCATAGCTTCACCCGGTTCACCAAGTCACCTGTAACGTGAGCACCAAAAGCGATACAAGTTCCCCAGAAACACCAAGTGAGCAACACTTCCTGGTAGAGCTACCGCGGAACCGAGATATCCCAACCCGCTCTCAGACCAATAAATGCAACAGCAATGAAATTGCGGAAGGGGGTAGGTCCAAGCTATATAGTTTCAAAGTTGTGGTCAACGCGAGTTGAACACGAGTTGCAGTCATGTTCGCCCTAGGGCGGGCGTCGGTGGAATCATGTACCACCTACAGTCGCAGGGTTGACAGAGGGGATTGAGAAGCACCGATGCATTTTATCGCTTTCGGCACGGAAGTGTACCCTACGTATGGAAAGACGTGGAAAAGGAAACACGTGGAAACGTCAACACGACATGCTTCGTAGATATTGCAGATAATCGAAACAAACCTGGGTCGTTTTCTCGGCTTTCGAGAGCTCACCTCGAGAATCTCTCCTCCTGAGGGGTGCACGACCCAGAGCGTGTTCTTCCGCAACACCTTTTATCAATAGAGAACAGCAGGTTAATCGAGGAGAAGTGTCATGGCATCAAACCAACTGCATGCATGAGGCTTCACCGCGTTACCGCGGACGCCCTGCACCTCGCTGGGCGTTCAGCATGCGGTTACTCTCGTGGCCGCGGAGAGCAGACTCCCCAACACCCCAGACAACCTAAGAAGCGGCAGTGATCTCCTTACCAGCCCATCTCCGCCTGGGAGCTCGCCTCCGAGGTCAATCAAGCTTGCATCACCGGTTTCGGGATCGACCGTGAAAAGTTGTTGGGATTGGCTGTTGACAATGATTAGCTTGCTGCCGTCGTCTGTGGCCTGAGGACAGTTGCCCAAAAGAACGAAAAGTGGGTAGGAAGGGCAATTCAGAACTGGCGGTCCCGTACATCGCAGCGCGTAAAGGGAGGTGTACCCTGCAATATCGATGGTTGGGTTCGCGTGACGCTAGTTGTTGGTGAAACTACAAATCCTACATTAAGTGATCACACAGTACTGAATGTATCCCTGCCCGTCATGGGGGGGCATCACCACGTGGTTGTTGGACCCCCCACTGCAACCAGAATATTGTTTTAGCACGGTAAATATATAATCTAGCTTGGCCGTCCCAATTGTGTTCTTCAAATGGAATCCTGGAGCGTGTTTATTTACATCTGTTATACATTTGTCCCAGGTTTCGCACTCGATGGATAATGTCGCTGGCAACGACGCACGATTAAGTCAAACCGGGAATGTTGCTGAAGGCGACGGTGAGGCAACACTAGGGATTTCATCGAGAAAATGCGTCATTCTCGCGGCCGTTTTTCTCGACCTTGTCTCACGGTGAAGGAAACACGACGAACGTTCCACCTGCTTAGTGCGTGCGCACTTGGCTGGCAGGCGGAAGGCAGTATCACGGCTGTCAGAGATATACAGTAAGTACATGTCCCTCCTTTGTTCGCTGTCGACAGCATGGACCTCTGGTAGATCAGAGTGTCTCGAGGATTCTGCACGAATATTTGTAGCAACTATGGTCAGCTGTTGCTGCGGCTGCTGCAAACACATTTCACCGAGAAAGGCTTGACCGGCCAAACCTGCCCATGCGCAGATCGTACCGTGGGTCATCCTCACGTAAGGTTGGAAACGTTAGGCCGGGTCACCCGGTTTTTGGCATCACGAAAACATGATTATCACTGATTGAGGTGGTTGTCTCCCTGGCCCTTTGCTCACCTCGATGCCGTTCACATTGAACGCCCCTTCCACCACGGGAACGTTGTCGCTGAGGACGAGAGTTTCAACGGCGGATCTATCCACCAATTCACCTGTCTCCTCGTCGAGGTCCACCTGTGGACCAACCCACAAGTACAATTCGTTTTTTTTCAAAACAAAGCGGCCCATCCGTACCGGCGCAATTAGAGACACGCGCTGGTCCAATCGATGGTGGACAACTTCCGCGGTTACCGCCTGACTGCAGCTGCCTGAAGAAGGTTCATGCTGCGGACAAACAGAGAAACTACCTTAGCAGGAACAGGAACTGCACCGAAAGTACGACCATGCCCACAAAAAAGGCAAGAGACGAGAAACAAGGATATGACTCGCCCAGAGAACAGGCAGAGCTGAAGGAAGAAGGGACGAGGCCCATAGATACGAACCACAACCCAAGCCAAAGGACAAAGCGGTAAACGCACAGAATACGAAACCGCGAGGGCTGAAAAAAGGCTGAGGTGCTTTCCCCGTCACCACAGGGGCTTTGTGGGTCCTGCCAACCCCCACGCCTACAAACATGGTGGTTCATCAAGCGAAGAAACGGGATACAAGATAACAGATGTCGCGCCTCCGAAGCAGGTGATTTTCCAGACACGCCGATGTTGTATGGTTGAGTGGCCACTAGGATCGCAGAGTGGCCACAAGGACGGCAGATGTTCTCCGTGTTCTTCTTGGCAATGCAACATGCCGTTGTCCTGGTGAATATGGCAAAAGTTATGTTGTTCGAAATCTCAGAGCCGCAGCTTTCTCACCTTGTATATCTTCGGTTGGAACGAATCCGTGAAGAATGCGGCGGTCTTGGTGATGATGACGTCATTCACAAACGACGAGTTGCCCCCGTCAGCCAGGGCCAGATCGGCAACCATAGTGAAATCCTCATCGTACACGCGTGCCGTGCCTGATGCGTAGTTTTCAAACGAACACAGTGGTCAGAGGACGAAGCCCGCAAGCGCGACAAGGGCGAGGTGTGTCACACGTCGTTCCGTCCAAGGACGTTTCCGCTAACTTTGAGCCCGCCCACGCTGGTTCTGATGTGAAACATCCACGGACGTTTCGTAGAACTGTCATGAACTTCCGTTCAATTCAGGCTTGTTTAAGCCGGCCTTGCCTCCCTAGACAAGCGGAGATTTGAATGTTTTGTTTTGGGGGCCCGCAAGAACAGAATCAACTCAACGCATTTAGCAATAGTGTCAGTGAATAAACCGACCTGATGCGGATGCGCCAAAAAAAGCATACAACACACAGACCAAAACATTATGTGGTGCAAATAGTTCGTTGACTTGAACTGGATTTGTACCTTTTCAATCCACAACGGCACTAACTCCCCCAATGCTAGTATTGCGTACTGCATCGACCCAATGTGATTGTTTCTGTGTGCGTCGTCCCAACTACGGTCAACACCGGCTTTGCAATGTTCTCCGGGAACATCAGCCGGCCTGACGCAGGAATGCCACGCAGCCATTTCTATTTTGTCCCACCCCTCTCGTACGGACTGTACCGTCACGGAAATACTTCCACATCAATATGCAACAAAAAAGACGGCACGCTGATCGTCGTCAATTAATCAACAACCAAGGGAAAAAGGAAACCGACAAAGCAGGTCTATTCCCCCGGTAAACCATGGAACCCGAGCGTGGTGGCACACCGAGAGGCCCCCCGGCGACGAAGAGGTAGCCGGATCGGCGGTCGTGGTCCAGACCCACGGCGGGGCCCGGAGCAGCAAGCTCATACTCTTCGCCCTCGCCAGTTTGGAGGTTGCCCTTCCAGATGTTTCCATCTGGAGCATCCACGCGAGAAACGTGTTAGAAGGCAAAACTGTAAGTGGTCGCGAACGGAGATTAAGGGCAGGGAGGGAGTTTCGGTGAAAGATAGACCCGTCTCAAACCACAATTGTCCAAATGCGAACTACCCCAAGCCAACCAACCTAAAATGACGGGTTATTGCTGTTGTTCGTCGATGTGCGATATTACACAGAAAGGTGGGCAATATTGTTGAATTCCTGCTTGCAGTACAGGAAACGTTTCGGGGACAGAACGCCTCCAGACAATGTAACGTTCGCGTGGAAGGGTCAGCTCCAGGATTGATTGGAGGGGAACCAATCGTTCTCAGATAAACGACGAATCTATTGCACCCCGTGACAAGGCCGTCCTTCCTTTTTCCCTAGTTAAAGACGTAATGGTTTCGTAGACCGTATTCCGACACCAATAACGGTCGGGCAGGGAAAAACGAACGTGTCATTTCTGACGAAGAGAACAGCTTGAGCTCTTCTCACGCTTGAGCGATCCCACGAAGGCAGTCCATCCTTCGCCGTTGGTGATGCCTTCCGGAAAGAATCCTCGTGGCAAATCGATCACGTCCAGCTTCGACGAGGCGCTTGCGATGATCATCACCGATGACGCCAGCACCACTCCAAACGATCGCATCCTCACAAAGTTGTACGGCGTGACTTGATGCCTATGGTCTTGGAGGACGAATCGATGGTAGAGGGAACTTTTCTGGTTTGTCCGGTATCTTTGAAATTTGTTTGGAAGCAAGCCCTGTTTTTTTGTCATTGTCGGCAACTCTGTGGATGCAGGAAACGTGCTGTGCCACTTTTGCCCTGTGTGACCCCGCCTGGTGACTACCCGAAAGGTACGATGTGAGGTCCAGAGTATTTGGAATGACAACCGCACAACAGAGAAAGTTGGCACCAAGCACATGTGTGTGGAAGAAAAGTGAACCAACCGGTTGTCAAGAAAAAAGAAACTCAACCGACACTACTGCACATGTTCGTAGCATACCTTGCATCGGTCTGCTGTTGCCATTATACGCTAGTTAACTGTTGCCGCTGAGAAAGGTCCTCCGCAAGGGGCATAGAGGTGCATAGGTAGGTGTGCGGTGTGGGGGAACGGCGTTTTTTTCTGGAAAACTAACACCTCCTGAGGTGGTCAGGCGTGCTGTTTGGAACACAAGCAGACAATGCATGGGAAAGGTAACCTAACCGCTAGTAGTCTATTTTTTGCAGGCAGTGCACAAGAATGGTTTTGAGGAAAGCCTCGGTTTGACATGTAGAGAGAAGTTCCGCGTGACTCCGACTGGTGCTTCTTCGAGGTCAGTCCTGCTGAATATCGACAAGCTGCGTGTCCAATGGTTTTTCGTCTGTGAGGTTACACACATGTAGACAGAAGAATTAGTTAACAGATCTGATATGAATTCATCCAGGTACCGCCCGCTCGTAAGAAGCGCCGACAGCAGTAGTGTAGCTCAACGCCTTACAAGGTACTTTGAAGTATCTAAGTTAAGCGCCGGGCACAGGTGATTTTGCAACAGACTCCCCCAATTTTCGATTTCGGGATTATGTAAGGAATTATTGCACGAGGCTTCGTTCACGAAAATATTCACTGCCCGCCCTACTGCAGAAGAGTTTTCTATCCACGGTGCCCTTTGCGCAAGGACATAGAAGTTTAAGTACCCCCCCCCGCACGGTCCCAGATTTCGATTAGTAGGTCGATAATAATGTACCCTTCGCTGGGTTACTTTTTTTTTTTTTTTGAAGACTAGGGCACACCTTGGCCGACCTGATCCTAACCAGCCCTAACCCTCACCCACGGCCAACCCATGCCCTAGCGGCGGCAAACTGGGCACAGTATTCTCGGAATGCGGATCGGCGACAGGGTGCTGGAGAGGGATAAGGCTAGACCAACGCCCGACCATCAAGCAAAGGACGGACGTGAAACCGCGTAGATAGGAAGAGTCACTAACAGAAAAAATAGTGACCGTACATTGTTCTAAATACTAGGATTACTTGGAGTGATTCCTACAGGTGCGCAAAATATAGTTAGGAAACATGTCGCTCCCTCCTTTGGTGTATTTCGAGAAACAGGTGGACGAAAAATAAACCTGTTTTTGCAGCCGATCCACCGGGATTGAAAGAAAACTCGCGACAATAATATACAAGGTTGTATGTTCATAGTAAGATCGCGCGAAAGTTATACCTATGTACTCCTCGAAGAATGGGTAAGATTTCAAAAGTAAAATTAATTGCGTTACGACCGCAAAACAAACGGCCACAACATTGTGATGGTGCAGTTTCACTATCTTCGCTGACACATACATACCAGAACTAACGACGTCCAAAAATATTGATAGGGGTGATGAATGGTCCTCCAGCGAATTTCCTTCACGGACCCTGTTTCTGGGCACTACCTCACCGTACATCCATTTTTATCAAAATCGAAAAAACGCGAATGAATCTTGCTTTAATCCCGGCGGATCTGCTTGCAAAAAACGGGGTGTAATTCATCCAAAAGAGAAAATGAGCGAAAAATTTCCCAATACCTGTAGGCTCGAAGTTCATCTTTATGGCGGCCATAAACTGGCTCTTTTCTGTAAAAGTGCAGGTGAACTTTCCAGAACGAACGTTTCGAAAATAATCCGAAATCAACCATCCATCCAAGGGTGCACAAAAAAATTTTTTTCCGACACCTAACGCCCAAAACTTTTTTTTGGGGCCCTCCGGGGGGGGGGGGTGACAACATAAGGTCCACTCGCCAACACACAAGGCCAAAACAAGAATGATGCACAAGGACACA